GGAAGGCATATGTTAGTCGCACAATGACGCCCATTTCTATTTTGTTAAATAAAGTTCAAGTTAAACGTGTTCTAGTGGATCCAGGTAGCTCAACAAACATAATTAGATCGAGGGTCGTAGAGCAGCTCGGCATATATGACCAAATTGTACCTGTATCCCGAGTCCTAAATGGTTTCAACATGGCAAGCGAAACAACGAAAGGGGAGATAATCCTACCAGTGAACGTAGCCGGGACCATCCAAGATACAAAATTCCATGTCATCGAAGGCGACATGAGATATAATGCACTTCTTGGGAGGCCGTGGATCCACAACATGAGGGCAGTACCTTCAACCCTTCATCAGATGATGAAATTCCCTACAGTGGATGGTGTGAAAACGGTTACGAAGAACAATACGCTGCAAATGAAATGTTTGTAGTCGATGAGGTGATACCGATACCACCGCCTTTGACCTCAGTAAAATCGGGCACCAAAGATATCAAATAGCAATCATCGACCCCAGCCTCGACCGAATCGGAGGAATAGGTAATCGAAGAAGAAGAAGAAGAAGAGGTTTTCCTTACTCCTCGAACTTTCGTCGTTCCCAAAGAGTCAGATGTAACCAAATCAATGGTCGAGGAACTGGAACATGTCATACTGATCGAGTACATGCCCGAGAAAAAGGTATACCTGGGAACGGGGTTAACCCTCGAACTCAGGAAAAAACTCATTCAATTTCTTATCGATAATATGGATTGTTTTACTTGGTCCCATTATGACATGATAGGGATCCCACCAGAAGTAACAACGCACTGGCTAAGCCTCAACCCCAGGTTCAAACCAGTAAAGAAAAAAAAGAGGCCCCAGTCCAAGGTGAAGCATGCATTCATAAAGGATGAGGTAACCAAACTTCTTAAAATAGGGTCTATTCGGGAGGTAAAATACCCTTGGTTAGCCAACGTAGTCGTAGTTCCTAAAAAGGGAAACAAACTTAGAATGTGCGTAGATTATAAGGATTTAAACAAGGCATGCCCTAAAGACTCTTTTCCCCTGCCTAACATCGATCGCATGATCGATGCCACATCCAGCCACGAGATCCTAACCTTTCTCGATGCCTACTCCAGGTGCAATCAAATTCAGATGAACTTGGAGGACTAACAGAAGACCCCATTTATCACTAAGTTTGGAACATACTGTTACAATGTATTGCCCTTCAAACTAAAAAAATGTTGGAGCTACATACCAATGCCCAGTTAACAAGATGTTCGAGGAACAGATAAGTAAATCGATAGAAGTTTACATTGACGATATGTTGGTTAAGTCCCTACACGCAGAGGACCATTTAACTCATTTGCAGGAAACATTCAAAATCTTGAGAAAGTACAAAGTGAAGCTTAACCCAAAAAAATATGCCTTCAGAGTCGGCTCGGCCAAATTTCTCGGCTTCATGGTATCTAATTAGGGAATCGAGATCAACCCCGATAAGATCAAGACCATCAAAGACATCACAATCGTGGATAGTGTGAAAGTTGTGCAAAGGCTAACATGACGAATAACCGCCTTGGGTCGATTCATTTCGAGGTCATCAGATCGAAGTCACAGGTTCTTTTCCTTGCATAAAAAGAATAAGGATTTCGCATGGACCCCGGAATGCCAGCTGGCCTTAGAGGAACTAAAGCGATACTTATCGAGCCCACCTATGCTTCACACCCCGAAGGTCTCGATCTAGCTAAAAGCTTGGGGGCAGAAGTCATTGAAGCCAAGTGCGATTCACTGTTGGTAGTAAACCAAGTAAACAAAAGTTTTAAAGTTCGAGAGGATAGGATGCAACGGTACTTGGATAAGCTACAGGTAACCTTGCACCGCTTCAAGGAGTGGACTCTAGATTATGTGCCTCGAGAACAAAATAGTGAGGCCGATGCACTTGCTAATTTGGGGTCATCGGTTGAAGAAGATGGTATCGTCCTGGGGACTGCCGTTCAATTATCGAGGTCTGTGGTTGAAGAAGGTCATGCCGAGATAAATTCTACAAGTTTGACTTGGGATTGGAGGAATAAGTATATCGAGTACTTTGAAAAATGGAAAAATCCCATCGGATCATAAAGAGTCAAGGGCCCTACGAACCAAGGCTGCTAGGTTCATATTAGATGAATATGGAACATTGTACAGGAGAACGTACGATGGACCATTGGTAGTATGTTTAGGGTCGGGGGACACCGATTATGTTCTACGAGAGATCCATGAAGGCACTTGTGGGAATCACTCTGGCGCTATGTCTTTGATTCGCAAAATTATTACAGTAGGGTATTACTGGGATAGCGTGGAAAAAGACACTAAGGAATTTGTTAAAAAATGTGATAAGTGCCAACGGTTTGCACCGATGATTCATCAGCCCGGAGAGCAACTTCACTCAGTCATGTCCCCGTGGCCTTTGATGAAACGAGGAATGGACATAGTTGGCCCTCTACCAACGGCACCAGGTAAAGCTAAATTCATTTTGTTTATGACTGATTATGTTTCTAAATGGGTGGAAGCACAGGCCTTCGAGAAGGTCAGAGAAAAAATGTTATTGACTTCATCTGTGTGACCACATCATATGTTGGTTTGGAATACCTGCCGAGATTGTATGTGACAATGGAAAGCAATTCGTTGGCAACAAGGTAACAGAGTTCCTCGAAACACACAAAATAAAGAGGATCTTATCAACACCGTACCACCCAACCGGGAACGGACAGGCTGAGTCAACAAACAAAACTATCATTCAAAACCTAAAGAAAAGGTTGGACGATGCAAAAGGAAAATGGAGAGAAGTTCTACCCGAGGTCCTTTGGGCATATTGAACGACATCGAAGTCCAGCACGGGGGATACTCCATTCTCTTTAGTATATGGCTCTGAGGCCTTAATCCCGGTCGAGGTCGAAGAACCCAACTCCATGTTTCGGGATGCATCGGAGGAGTCAAATCACGAGGCTATGAATACTAGCCTTGAGCTATTAGACGAAAAACGAAAAGTTGCACTTGTTCGGATGGCGGTGTAGAAACAAAGAATCGAGAGATATTATAACAGAAGTACTAACCTTCGATACTTCGGAATCGGGGACTTAGTTCTACGGAAGGTCACCCTCAATACTCGAGACCCGAATGAAGGGAAACTAGGCCCAAATTGGGAAGGACCGTACCGAGTCATCGAAGTTATAGGTAAAGGATCTTACAAACTTGGCACGATGGGAGGCGAATAACTTCCGAACAATTGGAATGTATCACTACTCAAACGATAGTATTGCTAAGGTATGACTTTCTCCTTTTGTCTATTTGAATTTAAAACTAACTCATTACAGGTGTTCGATCAAAGACACCAAGGGCACCTTTTTACACGAAGACCTTAGGTTATAAAGCACGCGTTGCACTCTTTTTCCCTTAGATCGGATTTTGTCCGAAATGGGTTTTACCGGTGAGGTTTTTAACGAGGCAACAACAATGTGCTACCTAAGGAGAATTCAACAGCATCCAAGGCTTCTTTTAAATCAACCTCGAATATTGGGGGGGCATCACCCTCGAAAATTATATTTTCAAGGAAAATACTTCATGCCAAAGAGGGCCTTGATAGGAAAACTTTGTAATGGGCCAAATGGTCAGATGAACCGTGTCCATGTAGAATAGTCGAGCACCGATGTCAAAACATGTACGCGTGTATCAATTATTCAAAGAAGCATTCTTTCTACACCAAAATACTTTGTGTCAAAGAAATTTGCTACTATACGAACATCATACTTGAGATTTTGCAAGAAATGGCTCAAAGGCCAAAATGCAAATACACCTCGAATACTCGGGGACTGTCATCGACAGTCAACATATTCGAGTCATCTAAACTCGAATTCATAAGACCTCAAAGAGGCATCCCCTCGACATAAAGGCCAAGTCCATCGTACTCGGGGACTAACCTTTTGAACAAGTTCGAAAGGTTATCGGGAAACAAGTCCAAGAGGCGTCCCGAAGGTTACGGCCATATTAAAGACTACGGTCATATAAAAAGGCTACGGCCAAAATAATGCGGCTCGGAGACGTCCGACTTCCGCCATAAGTTAAAGGCTTTCAAATACTTTGAAAAATCGATTAAATTAGGCTACCCTCGAAAAAAAGAAAATAAAAAAGGGCTTCAATAAAATCAGCCCTCGAATAATTAAAGGCTTCAATAACATCAGCCTTCGAAAAAGCCTCAAGAGGTATTCAATTATCATAACACAAACAGATTACAAATAAGGTTCCAATCGATCGAATCTTCAAAAAACCCAACGGGTACAAAAAACACATGCTAAGGCATTAAGAAAAACTCACTAAGTCTTTTAGATGAATAAAGGAAAAAATTATAGTCGCTTTAGAGGCCGAATTGGACCAACTTAAAGAGTCTAAGGGCCGATATAATAGAGCTTAAGGGCCGACCTAAAACAGTCTGAGGGCCGATATAAAAGAGCCTAAGGGCCGAAGCATGAAGAGTTCGAGACCTTGCTCTCACTCAAACTCGGACTCAAGAGTCCCAAGCTCGCATCAAATCGACTTGGGCATAGCTCGAGGATTAACAAAAACTTTAAAAGGTATTCTGTTATAAGTTCAAATATCGCCCATTGATCATTAAAAAACTTAAGGGTTTTTTCTATTCAGAATCCGAGCCAGTGTTCACATGATCATTGACGTTATAACATCAAAAAATTTCACAAAATGAAGACAAAGCAGAATTCAATACAAATAAGAGATGAAGCAAAGGGAATTCTTTATATTTATGAAGGGTATTTACAGTACCCACGAGGGGCCTTACACAAAAACAAAGAAACAAAAACAAAACCCTAAGAGCCTAATATACTTGGGGAGCCACATCATCGGGAAACTCCTCCTCGGGGACTCCATCCTCATCTCCCTCGCCCTCAGAGCCACTAACATAATCTTCATCATCGGAAGAAACGAGGAACTTGGCATCGGCCTCAAGTGCTTTTGCCTAGGCTATCTTATTGGTGAGGTCGAAACCTCAAGCGCGAATCTCTTCGAGGGCCTCCCTCCGGGATTGACACTTGGCCAAATCACTGACTCGTTTCTCCCAGTCGGAGGCCTTCCTTAGCTTCGCTTGAACAGCCTCGGCATCTTTTAAGTATACGGTAATGGTTTTATTAGCCGTGGCCTTCATCTTCTTAACTTCGGCCTTGGCCTCAGCAACCTCGGCACCGATTTCAGCGAATTTTGCCTCGAGCTCCTCGATCTTCTTGGCCTGGGCCAGATTTTTCAATTTAGCACCTCGAAGTTGGATCTCAGCTGAGGCCAGTTGGGATAGAGCAACCTCTTTATCAGTAGGAAGCCGATCCATATTTTCCTTCCATTGGTTGTAGTCAACTTTAACCTGATCGACCTCGCCCCGAAGCTGCCCTATCAACTCCAATTTTTGCTGCAGCTGAGACATTGAAGTATTAGCCTCCACCTTAGTCAAGTAGACTATACTCTTTCAAAATCATGGTTACCTGCTTGTCTAGCTCGGCCTTGTTTTTATGAGCTTTGGCCAAATCTGCCCGAAGGTCCTTGAGTTCCTCCTCCTTTTGGATACAAAGGAGCCTTAGAGCCTTCTTTTCATCTAAAGACTTCTTAAGCTCGGCCTCACATTGGATCAGCTCAGCTTTAAACTTAGTAATGTCCTATAAAAAGAAAAAAGAGATATCAGTCAACACAGAAGGAGAAGAAAACCAGAAATTTTGCAACAATAAAAGTTAGTGCTTACCCGAGATAAGAGACGATGAGCCTCTTCAAAAAGGGTAGATGCATCATTAAGATCAGCGGCATCCTCGACCCTAGTGAAACAGTCTTGAAAGGGATCTTCTTCGAGGACCTTGCTCGGGTCGGGCGTTCGCAGAGCTCGAGCGTCCTTTATTGCCTCATCATAATAAGATGGTAGAGAATTGGAGTGACCTATTGTCACGGCCTTGAGCTCCTCACTCGAGGCGCTCTGATTAGCATCGATATTTGCAGCACTTGCCCCTTCGGTGTACTTGTCGAAGGCGAGGGTATAACCTCAATCTCAGGGGACTCGGGGGCTTTACTCGAGTCTTTCTTTGGAGTTTCCTCACCACGAGGCAAGGTCTCCGGCTTGGAGGACTTGGTGACCTCAATCCGTTTTCTAGTTCGGGTCACCAATGCCAATTCTTCGCTCTCATTTTCTTCATCATCCAGAAACAGGTGGGTCGAATCTAGGTCCACGTGAATAAGTTTCTTCCTTAGCCTTAGAGTAGGGGTTTTCTTGTCTTGGGGATTTTCAGGTTTCGATGCCATTTTCTTCTTGTTATCTTTCCCTGATTTGGGAACCGAGGACTTGGTGTCTCCCCCAGGAGGGGCCGACCTCATCTCGGAAAAATCTCCGAGGCTTGCATAAATCAAGAGTCGAGTGTGAGGAAACAAATGACTTCGGTAAAGGAGGGAAGCGTCATAATGCTTACAAAGAAAAACTCACCATGATGTTTGGCTTTCCATTTGCCCCTCGATAAGTCACGGCATTTGAGCTCGTCATACGAGGAGGTCACGGCTAACTTCCGAACCCAGTCTTCGAGGTCAGGGATTGCATGGGGCATCCACGCTTCGGCTGCAAAAGGGGTAAAAGTGTTACACAATGCAGAAGCAAAATGTAAGTAGGCATTGAGGGAAAGACTTCACTTACGCTCGGGATTCCATTTCTCCGGGAAAAACATTTTGTCCTCGGGGATGATGTCCGAGGTCCTCACTCGGATGAACTAGCTCATCCAGCCACGGTCTTTGGCCTCATCATTGCTAGCAAAGAAGGCTTTGCTCGATCGGCATTGGAGCTTGATCAGTCCTCAGAAAAAGCTGAGGTCGATACAATCGGATGAGGTGATTGAGGGTAAACTCCAGTCCCCTGGCCTTGCTAGAGAAATAACGGGGCATGATCACTATGCACCAAAAGGAGGGGTGAATTTGGCCGAGAGTGATTTGATATCTTTTGCAAAATTCAATCACGATCGGATCGAAAGGACCCAGTGTGAAGGGGTAAGTGTAAACACTTAGGAACCCTTCAACGTGGGTGGTGACATTCTCCTCGGGGATCTATACCACGACCTCATCCCCCCAAACACAATCCTTTCTCACAGTCTCGAGGTGTTTCTCCGTTATCGAACAGATATACCTCGATGCATGCTTACATCGACCGGGAACTACAGGGGAGTTTTCTACGTCGAAATCTTTCTTTATGACGCAGGCGATTGGAACGATCTCGTGAAGGGTCGACGCTTTGTCACCAGATGGACGAGAGGAAGAGGAAGAAGCCTTTTCTTTTTGAGGAACCGTTTTAGAGGTTTTTTCCATGATTTTAAGTTAAGAGATGCGGAAGGTAGTGAAGCTTGGCATTTTCCGGTACTAAAAGGACGGTGGAAGCAGGTGATGAGAGAAAAAGATGAAGAGAAGAAGGGATCAGAGATAGTGAAAGGAATAAGTGAAGTCCTTAATTCAAAAAAGGAGCCCCATATTTATAGGTAAGCGACAACGGTTCAACGACGCTAGAGGCCCGCTAGTGGCCGACCATCACTAGAGAAACATTTAATGTTTTGGGGAAGCGAACCGACGGGACGTTTCGGTCACTTCGAGCGCCTACGTCACGGGAATGACGTCATCATCAGAGACTCCGAAAAATCGAGGTTCAAATCGTTTCTTATCATTTTACTCTAAGAAACGCGGGGACTATCTGTATACGGTAAAGTTATGTGCCCTCGATTTTGCCGGCCCGATGGCCCACCACGAGGAATAAAAGATTCCCGTCGAGGAATAGACTCACTATGGATCAAGTTTGAGTCCAAAGGCAGAACACGAGGCTCGAAGATTTAACTGTCCGAGGAACATCAGGATCGGTGCGATCAACCCCGAGATGGTGCCGTTATAATTTTGTAAACAATTGAGCAAAATTTCTACCACGTCCCCAAAATTATGGCGTAAATTTCGGAATAAATTTGTACGAATCCGTATTAGGCGGTTAGACAGCTGTACCAATAGGATTCTTTACTGTAAATGGATATGTACCTTATTTAGGGTTCCCCCATTATATAAAGGAGACCTCAATCATTTGTAAACCTTATCAATCATTGGCAAAGACTATACTCTCTTACTTTTTGGCTCATATTTCATCATAATCGTCTCTTTACTTAATTGTTCTTGCTTTACAGTTCTTAACCAACCTCGAGGCCACCTTAGCTCGAGGTCAAGACTTTCTTGCACACTAGTTTGAATTTACTTATTTCCTTCATTTATACGTTAGTTTTCTTGGTTATTAATTAGTATTGAACTAAATCACATATCTTTAAAACCATAAATCAAATTTAATTGTTACTCGTATTTTCGAGGTAAACAGTATGGTTGATAAATTTTAAAGTATACAGATTTATACCAATTAATTAGCACCATTTACCATAGTAGAGTAATCAATGAGATTAGTGGGCTTTACTCTACTAATTAATAGAATAATTAAGTTGATTAGGCTTAAATTTTCCTTTATCGAGGAATTTTCATAAAGCACTACAGTTAGAGCCTAATTACCATACATAGCTATAGTTTACCTAATTATTATACATAGCTACAGTTCTATGGTTACCAGCTTGTATCACTTGTATTCAGACACGCAATGAATACATCTAGCATCAACTGTATTTGTTCGTGCAATGAATATAAACTGTATCAACAATATTCTTTTGCGCAACGAATATAACAAAGGCGAAATATAAAGGTGTATACAAAGTATATAACCTGCGCGCAACGAATACAACCAATGTAAAATACACAAATACAAAATATAAATTGCTCTTATTAGGAGTCGAACTCAAGACCTTTGCTTACTAAGCGGGTGCTCTAACCAACTGAGCTACCTTTTCAATTCAAAACAATTGATCATTTGTTACAGTATTATAGGTGAATTTGCTATAAAATTCAAATATAACTACGAATGGTAATTTCTTGAAAAGTATAATTACGAATGATAAATACAGTATATATATTTATTGTATCACGTAAATTTCCCCCCATCATTAACAGGAAGTTCTCCACTTCTCCTACTCTCATTTCACGTGAACTTTATGATATCTGGTGTGCAAGATCCTGAATGCTCATTCATAACAATATATTAAAATTTAAAGTTCAAACGAAAAGATTTGATGATGTACAAGTGGAAAGTTGATCTTCGAAGGGAATCTAACTCACGCGTTGTTGTTTCAAGTCTTTTTCTGAAAACAAGATTCACTGAATTACATGTGAAGTAAAAGAGTGTTTTAGTACTCTACCATGAGCGAAATGCAGAGACCTTTACACCAGCCCCTACCTTTCTGTTCCAACTGCAATATCGAGTTTAAGTTCTGTGTACTAAAATTAGGAATGTCAAATAGGTGGGTCGGGTTAATTTTGAGCGGATCAAAGTGGGCTGAGTCAATAAATGGACGAGTCATTAGTCCGCCCAAGTGTAACTTCAACTGAGATGAGTTGGGTCAAGTTGAGCTAAAATTTTGGTCATAGCCCAACCCGTCCAACTTTTACCAATCTTTAATAAATGTGTATTATTTTCTTATAAATTGTTTAATCATCAAATAAGATTTTTTTTTCTTTTGTTATGGTCATATATAATATGTCTAACCCAACAAAAATTATTTTAAAGATATTTTAGCAAAGTTAGTCATGAATCAATTTGGGCTAAAACTCAACCTAACTTTAAATGGGCTGAAATTGGTTGAGCCAAGGTGGGCTGAGTTCAACAAAAGGATAGGTCAATGACCAGCCTAACCTTGGGTGGGTTGGCAGGTCAAATGGGTTTGGACTCAACTTATCACCCCTAACTAAAAGGGAAACTACCAGCTATGTCCATTTATAAGTAGCTTATTATAAAAATTGGCCAATTCGCAAAATATTACTAATATTAGCCAAATAGCTATTTGTAGCCAAAAAAAAGTCAATTTTTTGCTTTTTTTTTTGAGTGGGTATTATTAGAATAGATTGGGCACAACTTAAGGTTGAATCTAAATTTTGGGATGATTTGGTGGAGTTTTGAGGTGATTTGAATTGAAAATCGAAGTAGAAGATGAACATGAAAAATGATATGTGTATCACACTGTGTATCATTGTTTATCACATATGTACTATATTTGTATCAAATGTATATCACTATCCATGTATACATGTGTATGATACATGTGTGATACATGTTTCATACGTGTATCGCAGAAGTATTTTTTGAACTCGATTTTAACCACGAATTTTGATACCAATTCAGTCCAAATCACCTCTAATCTTTCTCAAATTTTGTATATTGACTCATCTATATGTTTTCAATGAGTTTCAACCATACCCATTGAGAAAAGGTCATTTTTTCCGTAGATTTTTGATTCTTTTCATCAACTTGTTTGCTACCTCATCTATGAATTTCCTTTCAGTATTGTATCTGATGTTGTTGATCATGCTTAAAAATATGGAAGGAGATCTTTGCGTGTGATTCTTGAAGAGAAAGAACTTTATTTATTTGAGGCTTCAATTTTTATATGTGCTTGACTTATTTTGGTAAGTCTATGATTAATGGCTAGAGGTTGGTAAGCTAGAATTTATTAGGGACATTTATGTAAGATTCCCATTGATTGATAACCTAATAAAATGGCACTTAACCTACTATCACAAATCAAAATTCACTGATAATAACTCATTATTGTATATAACTTAAATTCATATTGTACGAAAATACTACTTTAATTTTTCTCTTCTTTTTTCATGTCGTCTCATTCGGGGAATTTACTTAACTCCGAATGGACACACCGATGCACAAGACATTTCATATTTATATGGGATCCGGAGAAGGGTCGCACCCAAAAACGTGTGAATACAAAAAATCTAACTGACACAAACATTAGTAGTTAAAGTAATTGGGTAAGTAATCTAACCGGATACATGTCCATATCATTGACAACAAAACATATTGATTGGTTAAAGTAATCCTATATATGAATTGGGTAAGGAATTTTTATCGGTTAGTTTATTGTGATAGAATAATTACTTATTGTATCAATAGGCAGAGGCAGATTCAACATTTAAATTTGGCACGAAGGAAAATGTTTCCTGTACTCCTTTCCCTCCTTTCTGGGACTCTATTTTCTTCAAAAATTTAATTGTTCATTTCAAAATTTACACAAATCCAAAGAAACTAATAATCTACTTTACTTTTTCACAGAAGAACAATATTGAAATTTGAGCTCGATAACTAAAAAGAAAATACTGTTTTGTTGAAAAAGAAAGTTTTATTTTTATAACATGAAAATAAATTACTCATTTTGTTGAATGAAAGTAAATACTTTTTCTACATCATGAAAAGAAAA